TCTCTCTCTCTCTCTCTCTCTCTCTCTCTCTCTGTGTGTGTGTGTGTGTGTGTGTGTGTGTGTGCATGTCCCGACTTGCCCTCTCCCTCTCCCTCTCTGTCTGTCTCTGTCTGCCTCTCTCTCGCCTTCTCCCCTCCTGTGTGTGTGTGTGTGTGTGTGTGTGTCTGTGTGTATGCATGTGTTCAGGTATTGCTTGCAGCTGGAGCAAGCCTGAGCGTGAAAGATGAAGATGGTGCTATTCCACTCCATGATGCTGCTGCTGGAGGTAGACTAGTTCCTCTCTTTGCAATCACATCCCTTTCCGATCTTCTTTTGATGCTTTCACTCTGATGTTCTGAACTCTGGTCTGACTGCATAGTGTGGAGTTGCCTGAAAATATCCTTTTTCAACTTTTTCAGACTTTTTCTTGATTGCGATGATTGCGATGATTTGATTGTCACCTGCTCAGGTGTGAAATTGTTGTAATACCCTCGCCAAAATAACAGCTTTGGAGTTTTCTGCTTTACTTCCCTTCATTCCGATGGGCAGTTGCATATGGCACGAAATATGAGCGCTGAATCCGCTGATCAGCTACCGTGTACCTAATGCCCCTGTCTGTTTACTGTCTGTGTCTATGGCTTCCGGATGTCTGGTTCTCTGGTTCAATTGAAATGCCTGCCTATCTCTGTTCTTTCTTTCTTGCGCAGTGGCCATGCTAATCTTCTCTGTATCGTTCCAATTTGAAGGGATGCCTCTATCCTTGCTATCTTGTTCTCCGCTTCTTGAATTTTTGCAGAGAGCATGAGGAGTGGAGGCTGTTCTGTGAGTTTTTGTAGCAACATTAAGGGTGATGTCCAAATCACCACGGCCCCTGAGCCCATCTTAACGACCCTAATGGTTGGTGTTATTTACCCCGGAGCACCAAACCTAAAAGTCTTAGGTTTACAGGAGTCACTGCGGGCGGCAAAAATATGACTTCTTCTTATCCCAAATTTTCGATATTGTTCTACGACAGGTTAGCAGACGAGGCACTTAACCTATGTCCCTAGCTTTCCAGAATCTTTCATCAAAACTCATGAGCATGAAAATCGCCGAAGTCAGCACACTCGAAACCGTGCATGCTGTCTCGCCTCCGTGGCAGCCCCTTGGCTGGCCCTTCCCTTGCCCAGTGTGTATAGTGCCGAGGCTGGCCCTTCCCAAGGCTGGTTTGAGGAAAAACAAGAGGAAGAGGAGGTGGAGAATGATGACTAAGAGGAGCTATGGATAGGGAGGAGCAAGAGGAGACACTTGCAATATCCATTATAATATGATTATATCCATTACATCCACTAAGATACTATAAAGGAAAAAGCGGTCCTCGGAAGTCAGCTCCAGCTGGTCCCATGGGAAACCAACCATGAATCCCAGTTCTTGGTGTGGGGCTCTTTCTTGTGTTTTCCCTGTTTCGGGTAATGGAGCCAGCCGGTAGGCCATGTGGCCAAAAAAAAAAAAAAGCGCAGCACGCCCTCTGGTGGCACAAAGAAATTGTGCACTACGCTGCAGGTGGCCTAGAAAATCTGTGCAGTGCAAAAGCAATTACTGCAGCACCACACTGCACAATTGGAGAGCCCCATGTGAAACCATGGGTCCGGGTTCTTGGTCCAGCCCACTGCTTGGCATGCCCCCGATTCTTGCACAGGACCTGGCGGCGAGAAGGCCGAAAATTTATGTATGTGTGGTGGAGGGCTGTCCAAAACATTGAGTTTTTCATGCAAGGTGGGCGTCTGTGCCTCGAAAGGAAATTGTGCCGTGTGGCAAACAGAAGGAATTATGCTCAACAGCGCAAAGGAATATGTTCTCTCAACTTCTCTGACATTGCAATGCAAGCCACTTTTGCCTGAGGGTCATGTCTACTAAATTTGGAACCCAATTCGAGGGAAAAACATCGAAACAAAATAAAAATATTCATTCAGCCACCCACCCCCGTGCTCGAGTTCACATTTGGATATCCGTATCCAGTCCAGACTCCGCGGTGTCCAGTGTCTGGATGGCTGTGGTGTACGCGTCTTCGGTGGGTCCTTCAGCCAGAGCAGAAGGAATGAATCGTCAAGTGAGTATTGATGTAAGGGATTCTGGACTCCGTTTCGTTTCCAGATTTAAAAAGACTCGGGAAGTGTTATTTCAAGAAAAAAAAGGGAAACAGAAACATAATGGCGTTTGCGGGCAGTGTAGAAACGGTCTGAATGTGGTAGCAAGCAGGAATGGTTCGGGTTATTACACTCTTTAGCAGATGGCTTGAAATTAATGATGAAGGAGCCTATGCTACCAAGTACTGCTAATTTTATCTCATTAACATATGACATTTTTTTCACTCGGTAAAAACGGCAGGTTACACTGAGTGTGTTGGCATGCTTCTAGCATCTACAAGGAGTCAGGAAGAACTGCTTGCTTTACTGAGGACTGCTGATATTGACGGTGACACGGTGAGTGTTTTGCTTTGATCCTTTTCAGAGTCAATCAGACCTTTTTTTTTCTTTTTTTTTTTAAAGTTTTTTTCCTTTTTTTTCCCTTCTTTTTCCTTTTTTTTTTCTTTTTTTCCCTTTTTTTTTTTTTTTTTTTTTTTTTTTTTTTTTTTTTTTTTTTTTTTTTTCTCTTCTTTTTTTTTTTTTTTTTTTTTTTAGTGCTTTTTTTTTTTTTTTTTTTTTTTTTTTTTTCCCTTCTTGA